TTTGTTCTAGTGCTTGAATTATCAGTACATGACGTCATAAGTGACGTCACAACGCCTGATTATTGGTCACAATATGATCATTTTGCACTTATAATCATTACAAAAACATTGTGAGGCACGGTTCTCAAGATTATTTCATAAAAAGAGGGCAAGTAGATAAAATATTTGTTTAAATTGCACGTTTGTTGAAACTGTAGGCTGTGCGTAAGGTTCGCAACTAGGATGTAGTACTTCCTGCTCGTATGGATTGAGATGTATTTGCTCTGATGGCACTTGTCGGTCTCTTGCCGATCCTTGTGGACTCCCGCGAAAAACAACTGCACAAAGCCTCCCAACAGAAGCAAAACTCTCCCAACCTAGAGCGTCACAGTCATCGAGAAATACCCAGAGAACGCAACCAGTATTTTCAGTGTACCTGGAATGGTGGTCTTGCAGTTGAATATCCCGCCCTCTGGAGGTATGTCTCTTGTGGTCGCTAAGCGAGTGTTTGAGTTGGTAATGAGCACCGGCAACAGGCACGTGTAGAAGTGTTCGACATGTATCGAGAGGTATTAATCAAGAATGTCGAAAGATTTTAGAGTGTCTATCTGTGACGTTGAACAGTACAAGAACATACTCCCTGCCTATACTGGGAAGTCAAGGAACCAGAATTTTCAGTGTCAATGCAAACAAGCCTGATATTGCCAATTCCCTCGTGTTACTGTGGAAGAAAGAAGCATTCTGAGGCAGGCTCGGTGACCGGATCATGTACGTGACAGCCGAAGATCAGTGCTAGAGACTAAGACGCAGCCACATGCGAACCAGTTTCTGAGATAGGGTGTAATCCTGAAGAGGCTGGTTCTCCATGCTCGGTTCGTGGGAGGCAGGTGCGTCATCCACCCCGACACTGATATTTTTGTCCTACTGCTTGGTCAAAGCCAAAACCTTGGAATGTGCTACATGAAGAATAAAGAAGGCGGAAAGAGCAGAATTATAAAATTTCTTTAGTTATTAACAGCTTGGAGAAGTAACTTGACCAAGACATCGACAAGCTCTACTTCATGAAGGTCCTAAATTATTGGCGTACACACGATCACAGGCTGTGATACTCGCTGGTAAGCAGTTCAGCTTCTAATTTTCCAATTCAGTGAAAGGTAGGTCCGAGCTATGGCGAGAATTGGGAAGGAGTGAACAGTATCCGGAGAGATACTGGAGGAAGCACTCATGTGACAGCTGTACAAGAAGGGGTGCAAGAGTATGGATGCGCTGCGCTATGAAGTCCAAGATGGCGACCAAAAGGAGGGTATTGGGGGTAAATTTAAAATTCGATTTACAAAGTGAAAGCTACCGTTCTGTCCTTGCTATCCCGCATTTTTATGATGCTTAATAGTCAAAGATTAAGAATACACAAGTTTCGTTTGTTCCCCTCAAGTGAGCCATACAACCACCTCAGCTGATGGACTATAAGGGAAGATGCGGCATTCTATT